CGTCCTCCTTCACTAGCTATCCTTTGAAACAAAAACACACAAGTTCCAGATTCCAAAATTTCCAACCACTTCTATAAAGGAGATAAAAGGGTTTCAGCACTGTCCCTTGGGGAATCACATGTAGCTCCCCCGTGTACTGGCCCAAGCACACGGATATGTCTGTCTGCCTGTCTGCTCCATATATACCTTATTACTTGGGGTAGGGGGTAAGTTCAAACAACAGGAAATAGAAACAAAAGAATGTTAGAGGGGCTTTAGGATTCAATGCTCTGAGCCCTCCCCAAACAAATCACTCTCTCTCTGCCGCCTGCCCTTGTCCAGTCACTATCTATGGAATCTTCTGGATGCTTGACTCTGGCTGTACAGTGAGTCAATGACGTCACTGAGCCTAGGCGACAGAGTCTAGATAAATCGTGTCAATTCTGTGATGGTCTTTTTTAAAAAAATCACACAATGTTGGTCTTAAGTTTTTAAGGAGGAGAAAAGAGAAGGACTGCAATAATAAATGTTTTCAAGGCAAACACCCAGTGGGTCTAGATTGAATGTGTATTTCATGTGCTGAGTACTAAGTCCCCAGAAAAAGAACTAGATGTTAGGGGCAAGGGTGAGGAAAGCCTTTGCAATTGTTGCCAAGGGGAAAAAAAAAAAACTGGGCCTGTTTTCCAGTCTGCTACCCTTAGGGAAGATGGGGCTTCCCAGAAATCCTTGCTGAGAATGAGGGGAAAAAATGAAAAAAGAAAAAGAGAGGAGTGGGGAGAATGCTTCAACAGACCCACTCCAGTCCTGTAAGAATATAGAGATAAGTAGGGGCATGGTATTCCCACCTATTGGAAACCCCTCTAAAGAGCTCAATTTTAAAATTTGAGCCTGGAAAACAAGTCCTGGCCCTGCCACTGTGTTGGATTTTCTTCTGCTCTCTTCTCTTCAGACACATTAGACAATTCTCACTCCTGTCCTGTAACCCATAGTTTCATCAGATTGAATAATGTCCTACTCTAACTGGAGCGGGACTGTTTTCACTGCCCCTAACAAACAAACAAACAAATAAAAACAGAATCTTCCCAGTACATCCTTAGTGAATCTATCCTTGTGGAAGGAGAGCTACAGTCCCTTTTCCCTGACTACAAGAGGGCCCAGAGGCTGTCTGTCCAAGGGCAGGGTCAGCAACCAAGACTTTGTTTCCGTCGGGAAATGCTCGCCAAGGTGCAGAGTGCATCTAGGGAATTTATCTCTTCTGACGATGTTTAAAAATTCTCTTTCCCAAATTGGACTCGTTTTTTCTCTATTTCTAGACCTCATTTTGCTTTCACCCTCATCCAAAATAATGAAATAAAATTAAAACGTTTGGTCAGCCGCTAATCGCCTTTAATTTTTCATTTGCTTGTTACAGATGTCCACCGCGTTGCTCTCAAGGTAATCTCGCCCGGCGCAGCTGAGCGCCCGCATCTTGCTCCTGCAACATCAAAGAGTCCGCGCACAAAGCAATGTTTCTTCGCCACGGTGCATCTTCATGGTAAGTTAGGATTTCTATGGCAATGGGCAAGTCGCACTGAAATCCTGAAAGGCCGAGCCTGGAGCCCGTCCAGGCTTTTCATTAAGGACATAATATTTACGTCTAACAGGCCTTTTTTCTTGTGTATACAAGTATATATTTTTGTTTGACGCGGACTAAATCATTTTCATTTAATTTCCGGTAAACAAAACCCACGCGAATGGGCACTTGTTCCCGATCATAATAAAAATGGATAATAATGTGAGCGAAGAAAAAGGCCGCTTGAATCGCCGCTCAGCCCTCTTTGTTTCTGCTTTCTGTGGTGATCAGAGGGCGCATTTGAGTTTGATGGCGAGTTTCTAAAGGCGAGGAAATGGTTTGTAAGAGGGGAAAGAAAAGGAGAAAGGTCTAATCAAGCTCGGGTTGTTCAAAGAGTCGGGTTTTGGGGTTGAAAGTGTGAGTTTGACGGTGCATCAGCATGCCGCGTTAGGCTCGCCATGGAAATGCGCGCGGGGAGCGGTCGCTTCAAAGGCGGCACACTTCACTGCAGACACTCTATTAAGATACATTTGCGCTGACCTTTGCTTTCACGCCATTTAATATTGTCACTACGTTCTCTAGTATATACCTCCTCCTTAGGACCTGCTTCGCCAGCGTTTAGGGGTTCACCTCGCACTCTAATGTGGGGGCAGGGGTTGGCGCCAGGGACACTTTCAGGAAAGGGAGGAGCTGGACTCCGTGCATCTCTGCTGCGTCCCAAAGAGGCTCCAAGGTCAGGAGTAAATAACTTTAGGACAATCTCAGAAGCTTAACAAATGAGCATCCCAACTCCGTTTCGTGCAAAGTACCTTTCTGCATCTTGAGTAAGGTGGAGGCCTGAATCTGAATGGGACTTTCAGGGCAAGGGGCCCATCTGGATGAGTCTGGGAGTTTCAGACTGTGCCTTTGGGACATTTCCACTTTGGCCCCAAGCACAGCCCTTTCTGCTCCTCAATCCCAGAAGTTTCTTAAAGCCCCTCAAACTTGTTTCTCCCCAGGGTGATGTGTATGGTACCCCTTAGGCCTGGGCTGGCCCTGGGCACGAGCTCAAGAGCCCAAGGCCAAGGGGATAGGGAAGATGGCAGGAAAGTTAGAAGTCCATGTTCCCTTAATTGTCTTGTTGTTTATTTTATCCAAGTACCCCAGTGAATAGGGGAAAAATAAACATGGTGGAAAAAAAATCAAACAGTGGAGTCTTCTTTAGTGCCAGTTCTTGTGGTTGAATAAAAAGGATGGTCTTCTTTCCATTGAGCTGAGAAATCTTTGAAGAGGGTTATTATCTTTTTTTTGTCGTCCTAACAACACTGATGAAATGTAAAAGGTTCTTTGTCAGCGATTTGTTCTCCTCTCTGTCAAACTCTCTGCCCTGTTAGTTTCAAATCATTTCTAAAGAGATAAAAATCAAAAAATTTTTTAAAAAATACATGCACGTTACACTAACTGCTAACTTTAAGACTAAGTTCTGCTAAGGGAAAAAAGAAAAGTAATGCAGTGACATCAGGTCCAAGCCTGTGGAGCTGTGCAGATGTTGAGGGGCCCTTTGCACAGGCTCTGGGATAAGGGAGAAGAATGCAGAGATGGTGCAGGCAGAGCATACATACCCCAAACTCCCACTGCTTGTCAGCTTCTCTATGCTCTGGCTTGTACTCAGTCCAAGTCAGGTCACCTGGAGCCTCCTTTGGGGACCCCTCAAACTCTCAATATTCTTGCCCCAGATCTTTGGAACCTAAGGCTGCAGCCAAGTGATTGTTAATATTTTCTGATTCTTCAAAGACAATCTCTGCCAAAAATAGACCCATTGTGTGTTTCTTCTCACTAACAGCAATCAGCAAGCCCTTTGTGTCATTAATAGAAAGGAGAGTGGCTTGAGAGTGAGACATTTTTACGATTTCCTGTTTTCTTCACAATCGTAGCAATTGGAGTTCAGAAGATTAAGTTTACAAGGTAGTGACCCCAGAGTGCATGCAAACACCCTCCTCCTATCCATATATGCAGTTCTTCATTTTATATTGTGCCCAGGAAAGAAACTTTCACCCTGTCCAGTTTCCCCCAAACCTTTTCATGTGGTTTTAAAGGTGGTTTAAATAAACAAGGAGTTCCAGTCTCCCCGCCCCTGTGAGCTGACTAAATAATTTGTAAAGTTTCCCCAAGCTGTAACCCATGCTGTTATTATAGTTGCTACAAAATGTTGTCTCTTATATTGATTTTTATTTGCTTACTCGAGGTCCCCATATGTTTATTTATATTGCTAATTTATGGGAAAATGTAATGATTACAATGAATGTGAATTATATAGACAGGCAAATGTTTTGTAATCATAATTCACACACACACAAAAGCTTGACTGAAACCTTAGACTATTTAGTATCCTCTTTATCCACAGTGTTTGTGATTTATCATCTATCTCTTTAACATTCTTAAATTATGGACTAACTCGAAAGAAAAAAAGTTGTTACGTATTTGACTGAAAGTGATTGTTGAATGAAAACATAGTTGAAAACCGTGGCTTAATCTTGCTGTAAATATGTAAAAATGAATTAAAATCTGTGATGGTTTTGCCCTCCAAAGCCTGTTGTGTACATGGAGCTCCATTTTGCTATTTTCTTTGGAATAAAGGATGTTATGTTCTCCTTCCTCTTTTAAATCCGAGTGTCTCATTATTACTTCATTATCCTGGGAGAGATTTGGAGCTCTCCCACAGCCTCCAGTTCTCTTCCCTGCTTTCCCTCAAGGCTTCACAGAAACATCTCTGAAGGCTAGTTGTTTACAGGGGCAAAACAGAGGGACCCACCAATGTGGCCATTGTGGAGAGGACCTCCCTCACCCTCAATGTCACCCCAATAACATTGGCACTCATCAACCGATTTCCCTTACAGAAGGGAAAAGGTAAAATTCTCCCAGAATCTTTAGGGAAAGTTTGCCTTCCAGGCGGCTCCAGCTTGGCACTCCTCTAACAAACTACTTCTGCCTTTCCAGAAACAAACAAACAAACAAACAAACAAAAACAAACAAACCCTAATAGTTGGCGGGAATAAAAACAAAGAAAGAGAGAGCAGGCTGGCTCTAACCCCTAAATCCTGATGGAGTGAGGACCTGGGGCACAGTTGGGCGCAGGAGTCTTCCTAGCTAGATCCCACTCCCTCCGAGAGTAACAAACACTCAGACCTTACAACTCCCTTCAGAGAACTAAGTAAGGGCCAAGCCCTAAGACTGTGTCACTACAGCCCACATGACTCTTTCCTGGGCTCCCAGTTGAGATCTACAGTGGGTTTTAGCATCTGATGCAGAAGCCCTCTTATCTGGCCCTGCCACTGGAGAAACTATTTCAGATGTATCAGAACCACCTGAATCACTAGAACCTTTTCTCCACCTCCACTGCAGTCACTGAGCCTCTAAGCACAGGTGTCCTTTCTTCCCCGCCACCCACCCCCATTCCCACTCCCACTGCGCAGGCGTGGAATCTGCGCCCGCTCCTCTTGGCCCCTTTTCAACACTTGAGAAATGGGTTTCTGCCCACTTGGCTGGGGCCGGGACAACACTGAGTAGAAGGAAGACGGCTCTTGGGGTCAAAATACTAGGTTTCTTTAGAGAACCCCTTGGAGACCCACCTCCTAGAGCAAAGGCTGCAGTCCTGAAAAGAAGTTTGGGGAAGAACCCCAGCGCGCAAAAGCGTGGAGCGACGCGTGGGTGTGAAAAGAGCAGCCACAAGAGGAGGGACACTAGAATTGCCATGACACGTCCAGGTCGATGGGAACCGCGAGGAAGGAGGTCCATTGGCATTAGTGCTGCAGTTAGCGCCCCTTCAGTCTCTCACCTGCGGAAGGGTCCCTCCTCTCCTCTGGCTCTGGGACAAGTTGGTGAGGTCTCTCCAACCCCGACTCTGAGAGGGCGCACTCATTAAAGCCGTTTCACGGACAGAAAAAAAAGTGCGAGGGCGTGCAAGTGGGGATTAGGAAGGAACCTGGCCATTCCCGGCCGGGCTCTTTCGCGTCCCAGGTTCTCCGCTTCGCGGTCCGGCTGTCTGGAGTCCACAGGGCCGCGCAAGGAGGGATCCCAGTTCTTCCACCTGCCCATCTCCATCCGCCCATGACAGCGCGACCCGGACCATTCCCGGGAGTCGTGAGAAAAGAGTTTGAGGAGAAACTGCTGTCCTTGGCATCCCGTGCTGGTCTTGGAGAAGGAAAGGCCCGCCTTTGAACCTTCTTAGTCTGAGCTGGGGCGTAAGAATCAAGGGAGTAAGGGGAGAGGATAGGAGAAGTGCTCTGGGAAATCTCAGCACCTTTGCCTCTAGGAGAGCTCAGACTTCCTCTGAACCTTTATTTTTGGCAGAAAGTTGAATAGTGTAACCTTTGGAAGAGGGTTGAATGCACTGGTTCCCAAGTGCCCATGGCTAGTCTCACCCTAGAGATAAACTGCCTTGTCCTCTGGGAAAGTTACCCACCTCCCAGCCCGTAGTGGCAGTGCCAAAAGGCAGTTTAGGGTGCTAATAATTTCTACTGAGCTTCTCTTTGCTACTTCGAATAAGAGCACCAGGTTAAAATTGCAGGCGTGGTGGGAGTCTTTGGCTAGGAGCCAGGCTCTCAGGCTTGTCCACCTATGGCTCTGTGCCCCTGGATAAGTGATGAAACCTTCCTGTGCTTCAATTTCCTCATCAAGTAAAATAGGCTTTAAAAGAATCTCCTTCGCAAATTTGTTTGGAGAACGAAATAAAATAACCCTCGAAACATTTGGAATCTACATGTTAAGTGCTTGTTCTTAATGTTGTTATTATTATTACTTAGATGACTTCGTTTTTTAGACATTTCCCTCTAGCCTCTTCTGGAATCAGATCTCCAGACCCTCCTAGAACATATGGCACTTCCAGGGGCCTCAAGCTTCATAGCAGGGCGTGCCTCGCCAGGCAGCCCCCGAGGCTAGTTGAGGATCCTGAAACCACCTCAGTTTGTATTCTTTTGAGAGTTTCAGAGCCTGATGCAGCTGGGCACTGAGGCAGAGACATTAATTTTTAAAGGCCCAAGAAACAGTAGAGGGAATTGAGTTTATTTTAGTGCAGAAAGAAGCTGCAAGAACCTGATTGTCTTAATG